TAACTTTCCGTGATTAAGCGCGCGCGTTGGTTTCGTGATGGCTTTCCCGTTTCCTTGGGCTCTGTCCGGTAGATAACGCCGCCCAGGGGCGCCCGGAGTGACTCTGGGGCCCGTTCCGGCCCTGTGTGGCCGTGAGCGGCTTCTCCCGTGGGCGCACGGCCTGGGCTGCTTTTACAGCACGCACAGCTGTGAGCAAGTTAATAGGCAGACACTTATTAGACACTTATTCTGAAACATTGCCCCCCACACACTTTTTTTTTTTCCCCTTCCTTTTTGGTAGTGTTATAATTGCTTTAAAAATGTTCTAAATACCATTACTGCATCTTGGGTAACTTGTGCTTCTGGCTGTCCAGTTCTTTAGAAAGCTTCTTTACAAACGTGTGTTTGCCAAAACGTGTGTTATTTTGTATGTGCTTACCAAATAAGTGAATTGATTGGAATTGATCACTTAAAGATAAGCAAGGGAAGCTGCTGTTTGGCCCGGTGGCTGTTTGGTGAGTTTTTGCCTAGTCAAGAGAGTGAAATCTTTGAGAAATCTGCTGTAAGTGATGGTTTCGGGTCACAGATGTTAGTAATTCCTGTTAAGTTCTTCTAATGTGTTAGGAAAAAATATATATATGTAAAGCTTACTATCAAAATAGCAAGCTGTAACATGTTTTCCTTTTCCTTACCTTGCATTCTGGATTTCAGTTCCTATGTCTCTGCTTTCCTTTTCCTTTTTCCTGTGTAGCCTTTGCTATGAGGCTTCCCTGCTCTCAGGATGAGCTGCCCCTCATCCCAGTGTGGTATTGGGCTCTCCCATCCCCCCAGCTGCTCTTTCCTTTCTTTTCCCCTTTCCCTAAAGGGATCTGCAGCTTTCCTTCTTTTTTTGTCATTGCTTTTTTCATTCTAATTCCTTTTGGAGAGATTGACTTTCAAATGTGGTTAACTTGATAGTCCTGTCTCCTTTTTTGAATGAATGGCTGGGGCTCCTTCCCCCAGCCCTTGGCAAGGGTGCCCAAGCAGTCGGAGGAGATTCCCGGGTTTGGACCCGAGCTGAGATCCATGTCACACTGGCCTCCGTATGGTCCCTGCTTCCCAGGGGTGCATTTCCTGCTAGAACCTAGTGGTAATGTGACCATTCTGTGCCTTGGTGACCTGGGAAGAGGAAGGGGAGAGACCACCTGGTATAGAAAGCTGAAAATGGAGCCTTCTTATCTTCCTGCTACTCATATGTAGTAACTCCAGGTGTTCTTACCTACCTGTGATACAAGAAATGGTCATCTATAAACCATATTTTCGTTTGTTAGCTCATGAAAAGTTCAAAGAAATAATGCTGAGTTATTTGCAAGCCAAATAGAGTGTTTATTAGCTGTGAGTGGGAGCCAGAAAATCCCAAGTGCCGAAGCCTTGCCCTATGCACATAACAGGTCATATGGATTTGAGGGGGAGGAGAATTGCTGCCCCCATCCACAGCCAACAGAAAGTGGGAGATCTGGAGCCTTTTTACCACTACAAGAAAATGTCCCTGTTCTGCCAGAGTGCAGGGGAGGCAACTGATTGCAGAGACCCATCCGTAGAGCCTTTTTTTAGGGTTTTGGGTTCTCCCTTCAGGGCTTCCACACATGACCGTTGGTCAAGGGCCGAGCATGGCGCTGCACTTTGCTTTGGCCTGAGGCTGAAACTCTTTCATTGTTTCATAGGTATGAGCAAAACAACGAAGGATTGCCATTTCCATCCAGCTTTCAATTTAGAGTGGAAAAATACAGGCCGTAAACTGGAATGCAACTTGCTAGCTGAGTTTCCGTATTTTAAAGCAGAGTGAAGTAGAACAAGTGAACAGGGTCCCACAAGAAGAACACGTGAGTGTTAGGATTTCTGAGGTGCTGGTGACAGGAAAAATAATGACTTATTTTCACTCTGTCACAGTTCTAATTAGTTATCCAATATTTTAGTTGCAGTTTTAGTAAATTGGGGCTTGGTATTGTAGGTTGTGTGTTTCCTCATGACTTTTGTGAAATTGTGTGCAGAAATTATCAATCACATGAAATTTTCATTATTCATTTTCCTAAGATAGATAAGAGTCTGAGTGACCAGTGATTTCTTTCTTGATGTCTCTTTAACCAGACTGAGTTGTTTTGCTTTAGTCTTAGATAGCCTGATTTTTGGAAAGTATGGGTAGAGGCAAACTGGGCAAAAGGTAGAGCTCTGAGGTCGCTTTCTTTACATTGATTTTATTTCGATACTGCATTTGCTCTTACAAAAGTCCCCACGTCTACTCATGGAGTTGCAAAACAGCTTCACCACAAGTGGTTTTGGCTTGGACTGTTTAGATGGCACCAAGAACAGGATTCAGAACCTCTCTAGAGCTTCACCATTCCTCTGCTCCCTGTGGTCGCGCGCAGCAGCGCTCTGTGAATGCAAAGCAAACCGAAAACTGAGCTGTTTTAGGGGATAGTGTTTTGCAGTCAATATGTAAGTAATTAAAAAAGAAAGGGAGAGAAAATCTTTCATTATGTTGGGCCTTTGATTTGGGGGAAAACTGACATCCTGCCTAATTTCCCTTTGTGCAAATACTTGTGAGGCAGATTGTGTCTGTTCACAGGCGGTGCTGACACCGAGCTGCACAAGCTGGGGCTGACCCCTCATATTAAGATCCCCTAGCAGGGTCGCTGCAGTATCTGCTGTGAGCCTGGCCTTAACCGAGAAATATTTGCATTATAGAGGTAGTAATGAAGATTATAATGATGTTTATTTGGACATCTGCACTTTGATCACCAAATGCTTATGTTGGAGCTTAAGAGGTGTAAATATATGCTGGTAGAAGTATTTAACGGCACTAATTTGCTATCTGTACCTCAAAATGCCTTCCAAATTCTTAGTCTTTCCTGCTTAGGTTTCTCAGTGTTTAGTTGCAATCTTTTAGAGTAGGTGATGTTTATTTTCCATCTAAAATGAAGTGCTCAACATGAAAAAACACACTTTTAACATTTTGAAAGCAGAAAGCTACAAAATATTGTATGAGGAAGTCTTAAAATCTTTAGTAGGAATAGTTAAATGCTGATAAATGTCTTCCGAAATCAACAGTGCTGCAGGACAGTTGAGCATTCTTGGCTAAGTTTTTGAAATCATGGTAAACAAATGGATCAAATCAGGCCAGGCTAAACGTCACAGACTTCTAGTAATACTTAATTTAATAACATCTAGTCTGAGACATGAGTTCAACGTGGTGCTAACAAGCAGGATCCTTACCTCATGAAGTCACTTCTGTTTTGGAAAATATTGTGACTGGTCTGAAATTGGTCAAATAAACACAACTGTGTAGGTGTTTGAACAGATTGGAGTATTTTATTTTTTGATAGAGTTTCTGTAGACAAGTATTTAGTGGTACATTCACAGCTTGACTTTAAATGTTTTTGCAATTCCATTCAGTAAATTGGACCTTGAGTCCCAAGGTGTTCGTTCTTGGATAGATGCCTGTATTTATACAGGCCTCTGTGCAGAGCTCGCTCTGGGAGGATAATAATATGTAATGCAGAAGAGGTAAGGGATGTTCCACCTTCCGAACCTGGCAGGTAAATTCAGAAACACACGCAGGTAATGCCCACACTCAAAATCATACAGCTCTTGAGTTCAAAATATCCTTGTATAGGTGTGTGTGTGTGTGGGGGGGGAATTATTTATATGTATATATATATATATTGGTGGCAAATTTTGCCATTCTCTCCGGCTTTTATTTGTCCCTAGTTGTGCTCTGCAGGGTAACTTCTGAGCCTGTTTGCAACCCTAGTAAAATCACAGGTTCTCTGTGCAAAGGCTCAGGATTACATCAATATTGCTTCCCTAAACTTTGAAGTCAAATGCAAATATATACCAGTTCTGAGAGGATAAATATTAGTATAGGAGTTTTCCATGGAGTCATGTTGTGTAATTGGTTTTCCATTTGTTTTAAGTCTTGCTAATTATCTTCCTCTGCCTCTCTCTTCCAGATTGGGTAGTTTTGCTTAAAAACAGGTTGCACAATGTTCTCCATTCTCAGACTTTAAGTCTGTAACTATACGGTTAAGGAATGTGACTCCTACTGTTTGGAATGATCCTCAGAGAAGATAGTTTATTTAATGACATTTGTACTGTAAACTGTAGACGTTCTTAGTCTTTAGAAACAGGGAGATGGTTCATGGTAAAGATGCAGAGAATCTTTGGGAAAAGAAGACTCAAAATGATCAGTTAGGTATGCTTTGATCGTGCAGCAGTTTGCAGTTCACTGTAGTCAATGCAGCTACTTGCTGGGCTTGGTATTAAATACACATCCAAGGCTTAAATGCTGACTGTTTGAGAGCTTTATATCTGTACAAATTAAGTTTTCAAAGATGACTGGTATTTTTTCAAAATTTGTTTGATGGGGGAGGCAACGTTAGTTAAGCTAATTGGAAGAAAAGTCTCAAACCTGCTCTGCAGCTAACGAAGCTGTCAGTTTGTAACAAGAAAATATAAAAAATACCAACTCAAGCTTTCTTGTATTGAAGCAGACTTGTGCTTATAGGTCACTCTCTCTGGTTTGAAAAGATTGCTTAGGAAATGCAGACAGAAAAGGCATGTCAGGACAAAGCTTGCAGAAGCTGAAAGTGCTCTGGTGCCTGTGAATTCTGCCTGCTAAGAATTCCTTGTACAAGGAAGGCCATGTCCCTATAGGAAACTGCTGGGACAAGCACAGCTACAGTACGTTTCATTTACCCTGTAATCTACGTGGGTTCTGGCCGCTGTATCGTAATTGTCATCTTACTCCACAAACCTGTTGGCATATTTGGTTCCTGGTTCCTTACAATTCAACCGATTTATCCCAGAGCGGGAGAGCATCTCCTGGAAAGGTGGTTCTTTTCTATGAGTTGTTTGGAAACTGCTCTATCAGAAGGAACACCACATCCTAACACGGGAAGCACCTGGAGCTGGAGAGATATTGTTAGTAACAGTTGCCATGAAAAACCTCTTGCGACAGCTTTGCAGATTTAAGGTGAAATTGCCAAGCAGTCGGGCAGAGATTCCTCAGCTGCACGGGAGCTTTAGTCATGGTGAGTCCTGCCTGCTTCTGTGTAATTATCTCCTTTTTTTTTCCTCTTGTTGGAATGCGAGAAGTGTCTGATGGTTTTGTTTGTGCAGTGGCTTTCAATGAGAACAGCTGAATCAGTTTCCTCCTCGTTGGTATTAGCACTCAGCATCACTATGGTGTTCCGTAAATACATTTTAAAATACAGTATTGCAAGCCATAGTAGACTGCATAACATTGTAAATAGCAAGAAGTGATGCATTTAAAAACCTAAAATTTATTTCCCACCATGTTTTGTTTCATAAGCCTGTAATTTTTCCCTATAGTGCAGTGATAGTAATGGTGATAACATTGCAGGCTTTTTCCCTAGTCTGTCCTTTGCAGATCGACTTCGTTGCTTATGTTGTACATTATCTTTGTTTATCAATGTAAATCAACAAACTATTCCTGAGCAGTATAGATAGCAAGGGACGGAACTTTTGAAGCCAAATTTGCAGTTTGAGAAACAGCTTTGTATAGGAACATGTTGCAGAAGATAACCAGTGCGGGTTATCGGAGGGTCCTGCTCAACCCCTTGCTGATGAGATTATGGAAAAGGCCGTGTAATGGTATTTTATACAGCACTCCAGCCCAGCTGCCAGGGCCCTTGATGGATGAGATGTGCGTACACTAACAATTTGTAGGTGAGATCACAGTAAACAAGCGAAATACCAAAGCAGCAGCACTTATACTTAAGTGGGAATTACATTCATTAAGTTTCCAAATGTTATGTAATTGTTTTTTTCTAGTGATGAGCACCTTCAGCTGTCTGCTCTCTAAGTTGCAGTCCACATACATAGAAAGTTCACTTCTGAATGCCTTAAGATGAAAGGTGCAAACATGAGAATGAAATGCATCTGTAGAATCCATATCACGAATAATGTTGTCACCAGCGGCAAGCACCGCTTCCTGAGAGAGGCTTAGCATTTTGGCCAGCCAGCTCCGACGCGGCGTTTCATGAATAACACTGAGTTTTTTTAGACTGTGCTGGTTAGCAGAGTTGCTTGCTTTTTCCATCTAATTACAAATGCAAAAAGATGGGAAAATACCATGATAGATAAGAAACCAGCATATATTTGTAGTTGCTGTGGTTGTGCTGGATGCAAATAGCTGAGTCACAGAAGAAGGAATTATTGACCAAGTGAAATAAAAATAACTGCCAGTGGATAAGCAGATATATCCTGTGCTTTTCCTAAAATCTTGGTGGTGTTATTTTTAGTGTGTGCATTATAATGTTCATCAACACAGTCTCATATCAAAGCCAATCTCTCTAGAGCAAAATAATACAGCTTCTCACATTTGCCTCTCTTGTTGCTTTTAATGAATGAGATGTTTATCCATTCCAACTTGCATATCAAGTGATATGGGAACGGTTTTGATTATCATCTGAAGTCTTAATTTCCTTCCCTTTTGTGAACACGAGGCAATAGCCGATTACTGATAATTTCTATTTGGCTTTCTCCTCCCCAGTTATAAAATGTCTGTATTCTAGGTATTTAAGTGACCTTGGCTGTACATGAGCATCATACCAGAACAGAGAAATATTCAGAGAGCAGAAAGGATGTGGTTCTTGAAATTAGTCAAGAGGAATACTGGAAATACTAGAAATTTAGCCTTCATATAAAGAAAAACATGAAAGAAAGAAAGGGCAAGAAATCTTGCCCTTTATTTTTTTCCAAGAGAGGGAAAAGTGAAGACTACTCATAGTAAAGATAATTTTCTCTTTAAATGCTGCTTTGCTACTTGGTGCAACCCTGTACGGTCCATAGTGTTTTACTGTCTATACTGGGACCTATATTAAATGCTTCTTTTCAGATAAGCTGCACACAATGTGAAAATAGAGGCAGTTTAATCTCATCTGCCTCTTTAAGTGATGCTGGAATAAATGTGTCTTTTTGAAAGGCCCTTTTTTGCATATTTTTCAGATGAGCTTTTCTTTTGAGTTTTGTGCTCTTCATTACATAAACTTTATGCTTTTAGCTCTGAGCATTACTCTGGTCTATTTTTATTTTAGTTTTAGTAGAATAGTTTTGCTTGTACCCCTGTAAAACCTGAGATGTTTTTCCTGTCTTTTAGCTTTGGGAGACCCACAGCCCCTACCCCAGTTCACATGAAAAACTTGAAAGTGCAGTTTTTTGAGGAAACCTTTTTGTTTAGTACTTTCATATTTCATCATTGGAATGTGGTCTCTGCTACTGAAGAAATACTGGCACAACTTGCAGAAGTTCTTATTTTTAAAAAAAATTGTTCAAATTACTCATTTTTTCTCTGGCGTATTTCTTTCTTGGCTGCATAGGTAGAAGCTAGCGAACAAAACAATTTGGTCTAAAGGACCTAGTTTGCAATGTGGCAAACCAAAAAGACTTAGGAAAGCAAATGTGCTGCTTTTGAAAAACAGGGTCCTGGAACTGAAAAAAATAATTGTAGGAGCTGAGGCCCATTTCTTAGTTCTGTTAGGCCAGGGCTCTGCAGGCTTGTTAGTTGTAGCACTTTATGCCCCAAATTCTGCAATTTCGTATCACACATTTACAGGTATGTTTGTTTATGGAAAGCAGTTCTGAAGAGGTCTGTATTAGTAATTGTGAAAGTTGATATAGAGAACTTCTGTCAATGGTTGAAGAGTGTTCTCTGGTTGTAAGTAGCTTCGATTCACCATAAAGTAGGAAGTTTTCAGACAGATGTGGTCATTCTACATTACATGATTTTAAAATCCTGAGATTAAAAAAAAAGATTTCTCAAAATTAACTTTTTAGTTTTTGCTGGGAAGAAAGCACAGCCTTCTGCAAACTGTCACCAATTTTAGAAATCAGAGATGTAAAAGTTGTGCAATGTCAGCTCTTCCAGAGTGGAAAAGAGGACTCCAAACACTCTCATGCGCATAGACACTTTGCTGCACAGTGTTTTGAAGACAGCAAATTACACCAGATATTTGTTTGGTTGCCCTAACACAGTATGGATATTGACCCCACTGTTAGGCTGCTACTGCTTCTGTTGCAAGAGGTTTAAATTTTTAGTTTAGATGGTAAAGACTTCTGGTTTTATATCAAAAGTGTTTCTAGAGGCACATCCTGGCATTGCTGCTGTAGCTGTTTGCCACTTGGACGTTATGTTTCTCATGGAATTTACCGTCACCACGTGGCTGGCATCGCGTGGTGGGGTCTGCTCCAAGGAACAGTAAGTTTTGCTAGTTGACTATTTCTGTGCCTGAGTTGGAAGAGCAGCACTGCGTATCTGAACTCTGCAGTCAGATCTGCTGAGCAGTACATATTTTAACTAATTTCTGTGTTGTTCATGGACAGGAATAACTCGGATAATTTTTCCCCTCAGAACCGTTATCTTTTAAGACGGAGAAGAGCCCCTCGAGCGCTGGAGGTTTGTTGGAGTGCGGAAGATTGAACGCCAAGTATTGAAGATTCAATATTATTTTATAAACAAGGAAACCCCTTCTCAGAATCTTCATTTCTGAGCCCAGAATCACTTTTTCAATATTTGTAAAGGGGAAGATCCAGCAGGCTGGCTGCAAAACTGAAAAATGCAGTAAAGTGTCCTGGTATTCTCAGATATGTCCAACTTGATTTGCTTTGCAGTTTTTGTAAGTGCACCACAGACTGTCAGTCTTATTTTGCAGCAAAAATTGAGGATCTGCCTGCGTGGAGGCCTGAAAGCTGCCTAATCTGGCTAAGATTCTACTGCAGAGTTTCCTTCCTTAATCTGCATTGAAGATTTTGAAGTAATGGCTGGATTTTTAGCAGGCTAGTAGATTTTTGTTTGATTTAAAAAGACACAGGGTAATCCTGCTGTAATTAGGGTGTTGTGGTAGCTTTTGGCATGTCTCAAATTGCTTGCACAGTAGTCTAGTACTGCGAGAACACGATGCATTTTGAGGGAGGGGAAATGAGCACAAAGTGCTAATTAGTTCATGCAGGCAAGTAGGATTCACTGGGAATGAACCCTCGGTGACTCTTTTCCGAAAGAGCGGCTGGGACCCGGGGCTTGCAGATAGATTCCCTTGTCCATCGGCTCCAGGTCGCGCTTCAATTGACAGGTTCCTCACAATTCCTCACGTTTTGGGGCCAGCAGTTGACAAACATTCCCGGACCACTGATCTGTGAAACGAGTCTGTAAATCTTCCCGCAGCCGCCTTCCAACAGCTTCCTTGTTGCAGAGTAGGAACGAATGTCAGACCTTGTCCTAGATGATAAAAATTCCCAAACTCGAAACATGCAGAAAAAATGATGTTGGTTAAAATGTTATTGAAGGTCTTCTGTTCATGGAAGGATGAAGATATTTTGTTAACTTTGAACTTTTTTGCTAGGGCTGAGAATTTTTCAGAGGGAAAGCTGTGAGATCCTCACTAAGGGTCACTTGATGTCTTTACGTGTCTTAGAAATTGAAACTACTACATGAAGTAGTCTGACGAGTGTTAGAAATGGTGTTAGAAATTTTTGTTAATTCAGAAATATTTGCTACTCTTATTGCGAATCTTTGAGGCAGATTGAATGCAGTAGCAGTTTCTAGTGAGAAAACAGTATATATATTTTTTTTTAAGAGATACATCCAGTGGGAGAATAGTTATCCTTGTGCAATGACTTGTTGATAGCCTCTTGTCTGGTGTGAAAATGTGCATCAAATGCTGTATTCAAGTATGTGTTTTCCTCACATGTGGAGCTTTCCACCTACATGAATAAAATGTGTTTACTGTTATTGCTTCAAACATCTGTGATAACAGGGCCAAGTTATGCTGCTTTATTTATAAATATAAGTTTTTGAGGAGTTTTTGATATAGTGGCTAATGTCCTTCAGCCAGGCAGTGTATCAGGATATCCCGATGATGAGTCCCTATTTCTGATTCATCTACTAGCTCTTGTCCTTAAATTTTTCTTTAAACACAGCATTGCCTGTTCTCTGCAAAATACCTGGTAGGGATTTGAATCATGTTTAAAAACAAACTTTTTTTAAAAAATAATAAGGCTTCCTTATATCCTT